AAATGATGAAGCTTAGGAGGAACCTTAAATTGCCATATAGCCCCCAAATAGGATCCTTGACATGATCCTCACTTGACTGTCCCACACCCTTCCTCCCAAACTCTCCATTTCGATTCATCTCCTGAGCAACCATATAGCCAAATTTAATGGAATACATCATTTTCCATGTGTAATGCCAAATAATCTGATCGAGACACCCAAACTTACTAATTGGCATACTCAAATTGATACCAGCTTCCTCCTCATTGAAGCATCGTTCAATAATATACTTGTTCCACAGCCTACCAACACCTACTAAATCTCCCACCATCAATGACATGTCCCCAGACTGTGAGATGGGGAGGAACGTGTGCGGTGTAGGTAACCATGGATCTTTCACAATCCGGATACTCCGCCAATCCCCAATCCTCCATCGGAGTCCGCCTTTCAAGATTTTCTGACCTTGCAAGATACCTTTCCACCCCCACGAAGTGCCTCTTCCCATTGGAGCCTCCAAAAAAGACGAGGTAGGATAGTATTTCGCTCGAAGAATTTTAGCTAGAAGAGAATCCGGATTACAAATAATCCACCACCCAACCTTCGCTAACATAGCTAAATTGAACGAAATAATTTCCTTTCGACATTTTATTCCAAGCTAACAAATGAACCCCCTTCTGTGTTTTCTAATCCCTCCACCAAAACCTAGCAATCACTTGCTCAATCTCCTTAGCCAATTGAATGGGAAGCTGGAAACAAGACATTGTGTAGTTTGGCAAAGCAGTAGCTACACTTTTCAGGAGAACCTCTTTCACAGCCACTGATAAGAACTGTTCTGCCCAACCATTAATTCTTTCCTCTAACTTATTTTGTATGTCTTCAAACACTTTCTTCTTCGAACCCCCTAAATCTACTTGAATACCTAAGTACTTCCCAAAGTTCTCCTGATAGTTAATACCCAACATCGCCGATAACCGAACCCTCAATGCATGCAAACAACTTGAGCTAAAGAATGTTGAGCTCTTCTCCAAATTAACACATTGCCCAGACCCCTCAACATATTTTTGAAGTATCCAGCAACATGTATGGCCTCCGTTTTTGTAGCTTGACAAAGAAAAAAAAAAAACGAATCATCTGCAAAGAAAACATAGGAAAAAGGCTTGACAGTATGGGTGACAGTCATCCCTCGGATGTGCCCAACCCTCTCCTCGTTCTGTATTAAGGCATATAACCCTTTGACACAAATTAGAAATAGAAATGGCAATAAGGGGTCTCCCTGCTGAAGTCCTCGACATGGTTCAATGTGACCTGTGGCCTCCCCATTGATAATCACACTGTATGAGATTGTCTGCACACACTCCATTACATACTGACAACAAATATCATCAAAACCCAATTTATGCATCATAACATTCAAAAATGGCCATTCAACACAGTCGTAAGCTTTATTTTACTGACAGTGTTCAAACCCACGTCGTCATGCAAGAGCACAATATCTTTCCACCACTGTGGTAAAGGGAAAATGGCTAATAATTTTTTGTTATTAATCTTTTTTAATTCATTGAATTTAGATGACCAAAAATTAAAAGAAACGTATGAGAAATAAAAATAACTGTGTGAATATCATTATCTTATAAAAATAAGACGCAAAAACTGGGTTGATACCGTCGACCAATTCAACTTTTGATTGGCGCGTCTTATTACCAATGGCGTGAGTCAATTTTGGACCGATTCATCTATTGACCAATCAGTGAGCTGGATAACATATAATTGATTTTGAAAATTTCCGAACACTAAATTCATCCATTTGTGTCAGCAATATGTGCGTAGAACCAAAAAGCCAAAGAAAAAGAAAGAAACATAACGCAGCATGCATGGACAATTGCCATCCCTGGATTTTTCCAACTGTTTTGATTACTCAATAAAATAAATGGTATCAACTAGTTTTGGTATCATGATATTTGTTTACACTTAGGAAAAGATATCTCAAATTCGATTCAGATGAAAATAATTTTATTATGAGTTAAATACTTAATATGAACTTGTTCGTGATAAACTTTCAGACATCAGGCTCATCATGATCCTCCACTGATATCATTGATATTGTCTTTTCTTGACTACCTATCATTAAGTGTGGAGTTTTATCACAAAAATAATCAGTGATATTAAGACTAGAATATTTCATATACAAGTTGTATAATGTGTTTTTATTTATATTTTTAGTATGGGACTATGTTCTCTAACAATTAGCACCTTGGTGATCGCTCCACTATTGTTGTGACATTGTGTGTGCATTATGAAAATTATATCGTATCATGTTCTACTAAAAAAGACGTCGACCAGGATCATATGAGTTAATTGAGATCCTCTGTGGATCTTTGTATCCAGAGCCAAAGGACTCGAAGATCCAAGTAGTTGAAGATAAGGAGAGATAGATCTGAACCCTTTATTTGTGTGAGGTGGGTCAGAGGGATGGGCTAATGGAAGTCGTAGGATTGAAATTGAGTAGTTCACATCTCTTAGTTTGTGAGCACCAAACACATAGATCCAGAAACTCTGGACCCAGAGATCTAGAGACTCTGAACATATAATCTGAAGGCTCCAAACACAGAAATCTGGAGAAATTCTCAATTCCATGTAATTGAAGGCAGAGAAAGTTTGAGTTGGAATGAACGATTTCACATGGCCAAGCATAAGAGGCAGCATGTTGCATCCTTTCTATTACAAAAATGGTATGGCATGGTATGGTGGGTACTAGCTAGCAAGCTTCTTCTCGTGATGAATTAATTTAATCCCACACGTCTCATTTTTTTCTTTCTAAAAGTGGATTGTGATTGTCTCTACCCCAAAAGCCAACTTACAAGCAAATGATGCCATATTTGTCAGAAATGCAGGCCTTTCTCATCCGTTTCTCTCCTTGCACAAGGTTTCTAGGCTAAGATGACAAACCCATTTATTCATTGAAATGAGTAATTTGATCTATTACGTATGCATGATTTTGGCTTTCCACACAATCCCTACTGTGTTTTTAGTAGTATGTAATGTATATGTATGTGTATATCACTATAGGATAGAAGCTATCTTCAAAATTAGAGCATATCTCTTCGAGAATATCCCAGCAACACAACCCCACACACACACACACACACACACACACACACACACACAATCTCCTATGCATTGGATTAGAGAAGCTTTATTCATATTTTGGTGCTGAAACTCTATTACCTAATCGACAAACACCTGAAAAAAGGGACGGTGTATGCCAAAAGGGCATATGATGTCTAAGTCAGAAAAATAATAGAGTAAAAAGAGAACTTGAGAGAGTTTTGAGTAGAAGTGATGATTATTGTTTCATCTGGCTATTTATAGAGACTAAACCCTAGTAGGCAGTTGGAAGGGGAGGTTATAGAGTATACTAGGTAATCCTTGATGATGCAAGCCAATTTTCGCAACCAGCTAGTAGTCTTGAAGGTCCATGTTGGTAAGAGTGCAGTTGAGCCAAACACTTAAGGGGATACTTTGGAGAGTCGGTGTCTTGCCGCCATTGGACCAGGTATGGCCCAACGACAAGAACTATTATGAGCGGCCCTCTTTACACATAATATATATCATGGGTGACCCGGAGAGCCCATGACTATCATGGGCGGCCTAGAGAGCTCATCGTCTATTGGTGGCCCATTACCTTAGGATAGACTACGTCTTATCCCTTTTAAATAAATTGTGGTCTACTCACGATATGAAGTAAAACCATCATATTCAGCATATTGTCCATGTGTCATTCTCCTATTGGATGTGGTTAATTTGTATCTTCACAAATGCTGCCATATTTGTTTGTGTTTAAGTAGGAAACAAAATAGTCACTTAGTACTACGGTCTAGTGGTATTCATCTTCATTTGTAAGTGAGAGGTCTTCACTTGTAAGTATTTCGTAATTGAATAGGACTTTTTCTTCCAACACAAGGTAGGTCTTCAAGCCATGAAAGAAAAGTTTCCTTTTATTTCCCCACAACGATTTAGTATTAAATAGGAGACAACTTTTGCTTGGATTCTCGCAAATTTCTTACTTAAAATTCAGGCTTCCCTATAGAGAATTCACAGAGAAATCTTAGGTATAAAATTATTTCCTTCTTCCTCCTTCCTCTTCGCACGTAATGGGGCAGCATGACTACCCCTAGTTTTCGACTTGGGTACGCAAGGTGCAACTGGGTGGGAATGACAAAGGGGCCCAAGGGGCCTAGTCTGATACTTCTGATATCCAATGCTTAAACTATAGGTATCGGTTGTAATATAAATATGCAAATTTGTACAAATATCGATTTGACATTCGATATCGTTATTGGTTGTCTTCGATAAAAATGATAGAAGTTTACTCAAAAACATGAAAATTAAAAAAATGAAACCATAGGAAATATCATATGGTTGTTTGTCGATATTTAAGGAACATGTCGGTAATATCGACAAAATATGTCTATTTTAGTCGAAATTTAAGAGTTTTTCCAATATAAGGTGAAGTTTATCTTGAAAATATCTTTTTTCTGACGTAAGAGTTTCCACATCTTTCTCTATTTTTTAGAAATATCGACCGTATCGAAGAAATTTCAAACATTGTTTTGGAGCAGATCTATGAACCTGCTTTTTTTATTGATTTTAAATCACCACTCTAAATCATTTATCTATGTGGCACCATTTAACTAAACTTGTGATCCCCGTGCCATATACAGCTTTATTGAGAAATCAAATGGAAGAACGACAATGATTTGCAGTAGTAAAGTTCAAAGACAATGATGACTGATATCGAAATTGAGCACTAAAATGCGGAGGGGACAATTCCAAGGAAATTTTTTATTTTTTATTTTTATTTTTTATTTTTTACAACGATATTTACACTAAGTGGGTGAGGAATAAATAGTTGTGAACTTGCCATTTATTAGATTCAAGTATAAGATCTCTTATTTTCATGTGAAGATGAATATCATTAGACCGTAAAACTAATCGACAATTTGAGGGACCTTTTGTGGGGATTGACTACAATACTTGTATATTTTTTATTACAATCATCATTTGACAGTCAAATATAATTCATACAATTAAATATATGTATTTAATACAATCACTTAATGATTATATCAAATACATGTAAATATTGTAGCCAAATCATATTCTGTGATAAAACAAAACAAAACCTAAGTTAAATTGTTCGACACCACAATAGATTCTGGTCACTCCCTCTCTAATGAACCAGCCGAAGCTTCTTTTGCTTTTTCAACCTGGCCGTTCGTTCCCTTCTTCTGCTTCGATCAACCTAGCTTGCTCTTCATCCTCTCTTCTCGCAATTAGTGCGCTACAAGGTCAAAATAATATTATTAGTCATAGTGTCATACATATGTGAAAAAAAAAAAAAAAAAAAACTGGATCGTGATTTGGATACCATGTATAACCATCGAAGATTGTTGAAGTAACTTGTTGATGCACAAAACCGGAGGTCTTGGAACAAGTAAATCCGACCGTGAATCTGTAAGAAATGAAAATAACACAAGATGTATCGTGGTTCACCCCAAGGTTTAGGCTACGTCCACACTGATTGTATTAAATTTCTCTGTTGAAGAGGGGGAGAGAGAGCTTAGAGCTTAGGGGGTGTGAGGAGGCTTAGGGTTTGTGAGGGTGAGGAGGCCATTTTATAGAATAAAGGCTCATCCCCTAATTACATATTTGCCCATTCCTTTATTACATAATTACATTTAAGTCCCCTGAGTATTTATACGAGGTCTAAATACAAGGTCCTAAATATGGTATAAACAGTAGTCCCCCAAGACTTCAGTCAAGATAGTCTTTTGGCTTAGAGCTTAGGGGGTGTGAGGAGGCTTAGGGTTTGTGAGGGTGAGGATGCCCTTTTATAGAATAAGGCTTCTCCCCTAATTACATATTTGCCTCTTCCTTTATTACATAATTACATTTAAGTCCACCGAGTATTTATACGAGGTCTAAATACAAGGCCCTAAACATGGTATAAACAGTAGTCCCCCAAGTCTTCAGTCAAGAGAGTCTTTTGACTGGAGATTTGAAATTCAGTCCATGTGTGGGCCGAAGTAACTAGATGTTGTCTTGAACTGATGCTCGATATGAGGCAGTGCTCAATCTAAAATGACACTCAACTAGAAGTAGCACATGCTGCTCGGCTGCTCGGCTCGTGGCTTATGTTGCCTTGGTTGGCTCGGCTTGCGGCGTTTGAAGGTGAGGGAGTCCCTTTTATAGAATAAGGGCTCGCTTATCAATACATGAATGATGGGCTAGAGTTGATGCTTTCTAATGATGGTGATAGAGTCCCTTTTATAGAATAAGGGCTCGTTCCTCAATACATAAATGATGGGCTAGAATTGATGCTCGCGGCGAGGCGGTTGCTCAGTAGGCGGCGATGCTTTCTAATGGTGGTGAGGGAGTCTCTTTTATAGAATAAGGGCTCGCTCCTCAATACATAAGTGATGGGTTAAGAGTGATGCTTGCAGCGAGGCGGTTGCTCAGCTGGCGGCTTTGCTCTCTAATGATGGTGAGGGAATCCCTTTTATAAAATAAGAGCTCGTTCCTCAGTACATGAATAATGGGTGCTCTCTAATGAAAGTGAAGGAGTCCCTTTTATAGAATAAGGGCTCGCTCCTCAATACATAAGTAATGGGCTAAGCCTCCCAAGTATTTTTCATGAGGCCTAGTTGAGGCCCAATATATGGTACATAATGTAGTCCCCCAAGTCTTCGGTCAATGGAGTCTGTTGGCTGGAGACTTCAAATTGAATCCATGTATGGGCCAAAGTGGCGGTTGTTCGGATGCGGTATTTGTATACCCTGCACTGAAGCTTTGTAGGTGAAGCTTTGCAAGTGAAGCTTTGAAGCTAGAGCTCTGTAAATGAAGTTTTTGAAGCTAGAGCTCTGTAAATGAAGCTTTTGAAGCTGTTTGACATGAGTGATGCTCATGAATGTTTATGTTGATTGACATGAGTGATGCTCATGAATGTTAACATGAGTGATGCTCATGAATGTTCACATGAATGATGGTCATGAATGTTTATGTATGATTGTCATGAGTGATGCTCATGAATGTTTATGTATGATTGTCATGAGTGATGCTCATGAATGTTTATGTATGAATGACATGAATAATGTTCATGTATAATTTGGAATACTGGGCGTACTTTTGATCACCTGGTTGGTGGCATGAAAGAGAGTACGGGTCGTACATTTCATCACCTAGTTGGTGGCATGAATGGCTAGTTGCCAAATGATTTTAGCGTACGAGTTATACATTTTATCACCTGGTTGGTGGTAATAGCACCAGGTTGCCAAATAATTGTGGAGTACTGGGCGTACTTTTGATCACCTGGTTAGTGGTAATAGCGGCAGGTTGCCGAATAATGGTGGAGTGCTGGGCGTACTTTCGATCGCCTAGTTGGAGCTATTTTGGGCTTATGGGCCTTCGCCTTCCACAACATGCCAGCCCATTTATTTTGGGCTTTGTCGTTTTTTTTTTGGTATTATTATTACCCTCTGATGGGGTTTATACATATTACCTTCTGATAGGGTTTATACAGATGTCTTCGAAAGATAAAATAAATTACATCATTTTGGTGGGGTGTTTATTCCTTGCTTTTGCTTTCTCGTTTGCTGCTTTCTGAAATATTCTTCCAACGACATGATTTTTTTTTCTTTTTCTTTTCTGGTCTTTTACCCTGATCTCTCCACCTCCAGGCACAGTCACTTGCTTTTGCTTTCGTTTTCTGATTTTCTTTCTGCTTTTGTTTCCCACTCCCTACAACTTTTAGGATTCCCATAATTGGCATTGTAAACTACAGCTGGATTTCCAATAGCAGTTGTAGCTCTTGCTTTCTTCTCCTCCGTGTTAGCAATTTCAACCTGCTCCATAGTCCCCTGAATTACCCGCAGAGCCTCGTACAACACCAAAATGACGTCGGAGTACTGAGCATCGAATATCCCAGATTTGACAATGAGATTTGATCTGAAGTTACAATGACATCTGATCTATAGCCTCATTGACAACTCATTTTGGCTTAACTTCGTCCAAATGAAAAATAGCATGCTTAGCATCAATTAACATTACAACACTGTCCAACTTGAATGTTTGATGTTGTTGCACTACTCACAGCCGCAGTGAACCTTCTGTAGCCTCAGTTGGGTTTGGCGACGAGAGCTCGGCAAAACGACGACGTCGAGTAGCGTAGGGTTTGGGAATGTCGGAAAGTCCTAGGTCACTTAAACCCGACCTTTGCCTGCTCGTCTGATCGGCAAGACGCGTTGAACGGACTACTGAGAATGGGGATGGCCCACCTGGGCAATATTCTGTACTGGGTTGGAGGGATTTGGAGGATCATGGCGGTGGTTGAGTTAGATGGGCATGGCGTTCCTAATGATTTCCGACATCTCGATTGTCTCCTCCTTTGTAAGTTTCTACTCTCAGCTCACCCATCTCTGATTCATAACCCATGTTTCTCTCCTCTTCGCCTTGCTGGTCGCACAGCTGCTCGGCACACTGGTATTGTTCACTAAAAAGCGCAACACCATGTCGTTGATCAAGTCACCACGGGACCCGAGAGAGGCCAAGTTGTTGGTGAGGTTGGAATACGGGGTTCTGATGGCGATGCTGTTGATGCAGGTGTTGGTGTTGGTGATGAGCCTTGTGGTGCATTGCTGCTGGGTGAGGGAGTATGAAGGGTTGGAAGCCGAGAAGGAGGCGATGATGAAGAAGAGGAGCCGGCGGGTAGCAAAAGTTCAGGGGGAGTCCATGGAAAATGTTGCAAAAATAGACAACAGAACACTGTAATTCTGAAATCTCCAAATGCACGAATTGCAAATCGCCTGGTCAAGTCAAGCCACCCGTCACCTGCCGTCCCTACATCCACATGCATATGAAGCAAAGCAGGAAAATGGCAAAGATGACAAACTTAAAAAAAAAAACCACGGCTGACGCATTCACCTTCGTCCGGCAAGGCCTCCAACATGGTCAACGCGACTCTGTAACCACCCAAAAGCAGTGATCTTTCTGAGAAATGGGCTATTGGGTTTCGCCGATTTGGCTCAGAAGATCGATGGGAGGTGGGGATTGGAGGTTGGGGAAATAAGTGAGTTTGATTTTTGAGGACATGGGATTTCTGGGATTCGGTTATGTTTGGTTGAAGGGAAAGGATTGGACCCAATTAGGTGGAAATGCTAAATCTTGGTGGAGATTGAGAGTGATGGATTTAGTTTTTTGTGATTTTGCATATTCACGACGGAGGTGAAAAATGAAAAAAGGAACCGACACAACTTTTCGTATCGTTTCCCACAAATGGCGTCAAATGTTGATGCACAAAACCGGAGGTCTTGGAACAACGTAAATCCAACCGTGAATCTGCAAGAAATGTAAATAACACAAGATGTATCGTGGTTCACCCCAAGGTTTGGGCTACGTCCACACTGATTGTATTATATTTCTCTGTTGAAGAGGGAGAGAGAGAGCTTAGAGCTTAGGGGGTGTGAGGAGGCTTAGGGTTTGTGAGGGTGAGGAGACCCTTTTATAGAATAAGGGCTCATTCCCTAATTACATATTTGCCCCTTCCTTTATTACATAATTACATTTAAGTTCCCCGAGTATTTATACGAGTTCTAAATACGAGGCCCTAAATATGGTATAAACAAAACTAATTCCTGCAAATTAAAGGGTGTTACAACACGCTTCTTACTCCATGTCACTATGGTCTTCAGCATCAGCAGCAAATCTATCGAGATTATAATTGCAGAAATTTGAAAATGATCATCAGGAATATGTGAAAAATAACAACTCCCTAACCAACGCAAATATATTTAAATGTTCACCATATAGCATAAGTTTGGTGCGAATAGAGCTTACCGAAACATTTTTCTTATCACATCACGAACATTCCCGGCCTCAGGGTCATGCTCATCATCGGAAGTCTTCGCACCAGATGCGGAAGTCTTCCTCTCAGTAGTTGAAGCAGACATCTTCAATGGAAGCCCATTTGACCCTAAAGGCCGGCCCGACCCACTTTCATTTCTATCAAGCTGTTTCCTAGTGCCCATTGATTTTGAATCAATTTTTCCGCTGGTTGGGGCTTTCCTACCATTACTTTCCAATGGGTGTTTGCTTTTCATCGAAATACGATTTGATCTCACCCCTTCAACATCATAAAAAAAAACCTTTATAAGATCTTCAATGAACAAAAGAAAGTTACTCAACAGCCAGATCAGATGCAATATTTCAACCCACCAGAATTTGGAAGAGAGACATTTTTTGGGGGACAATCCTTGGCAGGAGCTGGACGCTTCGCATCGTTAGAGAAAATTTGTGAGTAATCTCTCATATCCCTAATCCTTGGACTTTAGTTTTTTGCTGTACGTACCAGAAATTCCATTAATGGAAAATAAGAAAACTAGAAGATAATTTCAGACTTTAAAGTAAGGCTGAGTTCGGTTCGAAACGGTTTGATTTTTTGTCAAAATCAAAATTGAACTGAAATTTCGGTTCGGTTTGATTCGATTTTTTTCATTATTATTATTATTATTATTATTTAGATATGGATATTAATAAACTAGCCCAAAAGAGGACTTGCCAAAGTAGCCCAATAGATCCAATAAACAGTAAAGGCCCAAGCCATAAAATAAAACAAAAGAAAACCTAGGCTTCTACTGTAGCACCCACCGCCGAGCATCCCTACTAGCACAAACCCTCGCCACCAACCAACCGACGCCTCAGCGATTGTAACATCCAGCCACAAGCACCTGTCAAAACACAGCCAAACAGACAAGATCCAAGGGTTTAATAAAAATAAATATCCAAAAATCAAAGATCTTTACCACATAGGGCTCCACAAAGACAAATCCAAGAACAACATCAGCCATTTTTTCTTCAAAAATTCACAAAGCATAGTCAACAAATAAAATAAATTCACATAGCATAGTCAACAAACCAAAGAAATAAAAACTATTAATCAATACATATAAAAAAAAAAAACTACCATTTTTAGCACTTAAAGAATTAAACAAGAAAAAGAAAAACAGAAGAAGAAATTGAATACTTACTGTTAAAGAAATCCGGAGGAACAAAGATGGATGTCTGGTGCAACCTCCATATGAATCCCAAAGTAAAAAACTATTTGGCTTGTATTTGAAAAGCAGAGATTGAAAGTTTATGGAGAAAGAAAGGAATATTAGAAAGGAGTGAAGAAGTTGTTGTTGTTGTAGGTGAGAGTCCACAGAGAGAGTATCAAATGAGGAGCAGAGAGACAAGAGGCGTAAGATTTAGAGAGGGAAAAAATGGGGATTGTCAAATAAATTCATCAAAAACCCTACGCCTCTTGTGGTAATCCTTTAAAAAAGTAAGATCCATGTTACAACCATGGACTTGGCAGGTTGGAGAGAGGAAGAGAGGAAGAAGAGTTGAAGGGAGGTAGAGAAGAAGGAGGGAGAGAAAGGCTGAGGAAGCAGAGAGGAAGAGCAGCGGACGAGAGAGAGAGAGAGAAAGTGTGTGTGTGTGTGTGAATGAAAAAGAGTGACGGCTAGGGTTTGTAAACTTTATAAATTTTATAAAACATTAAGATTAGAATACCTATAAATAATATACTGGTACAGTTATAGCAATACAAAGCCTACAGTCAAGTTGGTTTGATTGAGCTATCCTCAACCTGGACGGAAGGGGTTTGAATCTTCACTCCAGTAGGTTTTGAATATTTATATTTTATTTTCATATTTTGGTTTTGTTCGATTCGGTCCGGTTTTCATACCTCAAAAACCAAAACCGAACCAACCAAATTTGGTTCGATTCGGTTCGATTTTTTCGGCCTCTGTTCGGTTCGATTGTCGGTTTTTTTCGGTTTTCGGTTTTTCGAACCCACCCCACTTTAAAGTTCAATCAAATACGATTTGCTTCATACCTCATTCATTAATTACCTTAGGCCATATCTAGCCGAAAAATGTCTCCAACCGAGGGCTAGGTTAGAGGACTCGTGGGCCCTACGAAATCTGAAAGGGACAAAAGACCAACCGGCTGGCCTAATCCAGCCAGCCCCGAGCTGGGCCAGAAAATTGAGCATTTCTGTCGGATATAACCGACATGAATGCTAGGCCAAATTTTCAAATGCAACGACTAGCTTACGTCATCTAGCTGTTATTTTATTATTATTTTTTTTATAATTTTATTTTCTTACAAAATCTTTTTCCTTTAAATTCTATTTTTTTCTATAACTTCCTATAACTTCTATTTTACAAAATTTGTTTCAAAAATATTTTTTAAATTCCAATTTTTCCCTATAACTTCTATTTTATAAAATTTGTTTCATATTTTTTTTAAATTCTATTTTTTCCCAATAAATTCTATTTTAAAAAATTGGTTTCAATTTTTTTTTTAAATTCCAATTTTTTTTTTCCTATAACTTCTATTTTACAAAATTTGTTTCATATTTTCTTTTAAATTCCATTTTTTTTATAACTTCTATTTTACAAAATTTGTTTCATATTTTTTTTTTAAATTCTATTTTTTTTTCGTATAATTTCTATTTTACAAAATTTGTTTCATATATTTTTTTTAATTCAATTTTTTTCCTATAACTTCTATTTTACAAAATTTATTTCATATTTGTTTTTAAATTTTATTTTTCCTATAACTTCCTAAGACATTATACAACATTAAATTAAATTAAGTAACATGAAATAACATTAAACAATATGAAACAACATTAAATAACATTAACCAACATAGAAATTATACAACATTAAAAAAAACATTTAACAACATGAAATTTAAACAATATTTTTAAAAACATTTAACAACATAAAACTTAAATGTCTACTTCATGCTTCTTTGGGCCCAAAGATGTGGAACAAGATCCTGTTGTAGGTACTTGTTTGTGGCACGGGAACGTATCATTCTATAGCGCTTCATATACTCATTTATAAAGATACTACTAGTTCTTGGATTGAAAGGCAAATTAGGCCCATCATATATTTTTGCACGAGCCCTTCTTGACCTATTTGGATCTTCTTAGTCGTCATCGGACTCTCCATCAATATACCCATCGCACTCATCCTCCACTACCATATTGTGTAATATGATGCAAGACATCATGATGGAGTCCAAATTTTCTTGACTCCACCCTCTTGTCGGTTCGCTGATGATCTTCCACCGTGCTTGTAGAATACCGAAATCTCTCTCAACATCTTTCTGGTATGCCTCTTAGTGTAAGGTAAACAACTTTTCCGCGTCATTCTTAGGGTTTGAAATTGCTTGGATAAGTGTTGCCCACTTTGAGTAGATGCCATTTGCCAAGTAATACCCCATATTGTATTGACGGCCGTTGATGTAGTAGTCAAGTTGATGTGTTTTACCTTCCATCAGGCGATTGAAGAGGGGTGAACGCCTAAGAATTGTAATGTCATTTTGGGATCCAGAGACTCTAAAGAAAGCATGCCATATCCGTATGTCATATGAGGCAACCTCCTCTAACATAACAGTTGGCTTTCTCGACCTTCCGCATAAACCTCTTTGCCATCCGGTGGGACAATTCTTCCAATCCCAATGCATGCAGTTTGATGACCTTATCATGCCCGGAAACCCACAATCTTTAGCTTTGTGAAGGAGTCGATTCGGATCTTTTTGATTTGGCTCGCGGAGGTACTCGTCTTTGTAAACTTGAACAATTGTGTCACAGAATTATTCAAGAGTATCAAGGCATGTAGACTCAAACATACTATGAGTTTCATCCATCAAATCAGCTGGGGAGCCATAGGCCATCATTCGGAGTGTAACAGTAACCTTCTGATAAGGTGAAAAACCAGGGTGACCTGCTCTGTCCCGCTTATGTTGAAGGTATGGATTGACCTGTTGGACATCACGAAGTAAACAAGCGAAGACATGACGCCTCATTCGGAAACGGCGTCTGAAATCCTCTTATGTGTACACCGAGTTGGGGTTGAAGTAATTGTTCATCAGATTGGCATGCGTCATTACTCTGTTTTGTGGTTTGTAAGAACGACCAGCAACAGAGCCACCTCATTGAGGTTGTTCCTCAGTTGGCTGACACACCATGGCCACAGCCATAGCTGCTGCTCTGTTTTGTTTGTTGTGCCTTACTCGAACTTCTTCATCAGACTCCTCGCCTTCTCGTCTCATTTGCGCCCATTTTTCTTCCAATTTGGAATTAGATGCGGACCCTTAGTTGGAATCCAAAGAGGAACCAAAGTTGGAATTCATTGCAAACTTGAATTGAAAGAGATTGAATTCAAAGTTGTGTGAATTATAACCCAATATCCACCCTATTTATAGCAAAAAAAATTCAAATCCAATGGCTAGCTGACGTCACTGAGCCGTTGGATTTGAATTTAAGTTGTAGTTTTTAAATAATAAATTATGTTTGGCCTTATGGCTCTTTAGCCCTTGGTTGGAGACAGTTTTTTGTGACATGGCTAAAACGAGCCCTATGACCCTCGGTTGGAGATGGAGGCAAATATGGCCCTGTACTGTTCATTAAAAAATTAATTTCTTGGAGGACCAGAGGGCTAAAATGAGCTCTCTGACCATCATTTAGTTGGAGATGGCCTTAGGTTTCTGACCATCTGATACATATTTTGATCCCGAAGAGGTCGATCCAGAGCTTTTCTTGTCCTGCAGAGGTGAGCCGGACCAAAAAAAATACATTAAAACCTATTTAATCAATTAAAGCACACGAATGCTTCAAAATTCACAATTAGTAGAACTGCTATGGTTGCTGTGATGAATGATTTGCTCACTGGAGGCAGGATCCAGACCGTTTATATTTGTCTTGCACATCATGGATGAATTAGGGCCGCCTTGCATGTCATGATATCAACCTGCATGATTGCATTCACACAATGGTTATCATTACATATCATGCTTTACCAAAGTTTTCCATGCAACACAAGAATTAAAAAAACAAGGGAATTTGAAAACTTGGATTTTTGAAAAGACAAAGAAATAAAAGAAATTCATGTTATAAATAATATTTATTATATGGCTGTTCGCATTCTGAGTCAATATGTAATATGTAAATAGTTGAGACATATTTTATTTAAATCCTAAACCTATAAATAGGTACTCTAATAAGAAGGAATAAACACACCAATTTTCTCCTCCCAATTTATCTTGTTTCTCTTGTTCTCTGTATTTCTTATACTTTATTTCCAATACCTTATGATGCTCTTGATGTCAACTGAAGAGAACAAAGAGACAATGATCTCTCAAAAAGGGTTTTCCGCAGCCGTTGTCTCTTTATTCTAATTATATATGGCTTTCTTTGCAGATTCAATATTAAAGAAAATAACAGTGCTCTATACTATATGAATGAGATCGTATCATGAGTCGCCAAATACAATTGAGTTTGCATTTACATTATCACAAGCAATCTCATAGCTAGCACAACCAATTTTCGGTATGCCTTATTGTATCATTAAATTTTTTTGTAAACTGATCAAGAATACATGTGGGATTGACCATTAATTGTACACGCTTTCACATTCAAGTTGTGTACATGACCGGATTTATACAATTGTGTTTAAGTGATCAATTTAATTAGTCCCGCCTGATGCTGTACCCAAATTATTATTGTTTCTCCGCTGTTAATCTTAGATTTATTTATCCATGTTTTTTTTTTTAACAAACGATATTATCTACACTAACAAAGAGGGGGTAGACTTAGCCTCACAATGGGCTAGCAATAATGTGGTTCAAATTCGCCTTTGGCGAGAATCGAACCTAAGACCTCTCACTTACAAATGAAGAGAAATACCACTAGACCGTAGTACTAAGTGACATTTATGTATGTTAAACGTATGTGATTACACAATATTATATGATAAAGAATAAATATCATATAAAAGATCATGACATGAAGGATCCCTATAAATAACTGGATCCAGACCTTAATCTGTGGATTCTCAATTTTTGTCAATTTTTGATATTAAGAGACCATGCCTTCTGGAGTAAGTCGGAATACTTACCCTTTTTTTTTTCTTTTAGGTGTGTGGTATCTTAACTTCATTCTTCGCAAATCTTTGGACATGGAGGCATCCCATTTCCGCACACACTACTTTGTTACTTGTGCCTTCAATACTGAAATGATGACGATTGTCTTAGTTTTGTGTGCACAAAAACTGAAACTTTGCCGGTCAAAGGCCAAAAGGTTCTCCAACGGTTAAGTTAGTGAGCAATGTTAACATTCAAGCAGTGGGCAAGAGTCTAAGGTCTCGTTTGACAGCTGTGACTGTACTTACTATTTCAGTTGAATAGGATAAATAAACATCGGATTGTACTGACTAAATTAATTTGGCGTTTGATGCTGTGTCGAATTAATCTGTGCATCAGATAATACGTCGGACTATTATAATTTTCTAAAACAAATCACCAAATAATTGTTGTTAGAATGAATAAAAAAGAGAAAATTAACCAAAGAAAAGCAGAAAAAGAGGAATTTATCATCATAAAAAATTAGAAAGAAAAAAAAAAGATAAAAGGAAACCCAGCGTGGCTTTCTTTTTTCATCTTCCCTATCAGCTGCACATCAAGAATGTGGCAAAGATTGCGTACCTTTTGGATCTCAGCAAATCGGCAATGAAACCCAAAGATTTTGGATCGGGCCGATACGGTTTAGCCTCCATGTTGTAATTTACAAGCGCACTCGAAGCAGAGCTCGGCGATTGAACACCCGAAACAGAGCTCATCGATGGCTGATCTGGCACCGGTTCTTGAGGGGCGTCGGAGGCCAAGAAGGACAAATTAAAAAGCTTGTCGATTGCGTAAACGATCACCAACCCATCATAGAACGTCGTTAGGATTAATACCCAGATCGTTGATCGACAAATAGCCTTGGAAATTTGGGGAGGCGGTGACGGTGATGGAGTAATTAGGGAGCAAAGTCGGGATCTTTGTATTAGGGTGGAGGTACTTCAAGGTTGTTGACGAAGATTCTTCTCAAAGATGGTGGCAGTGGAGGATTTGAATTCAACGGAGTTAGACACGAGTTGGAGGGTAAGGGACATGGAAAGGAAGCCGGAGTTCGAAAGCCCACTTTGAGAAGTGGTTAAGGATGACTTCTTGAAGATGGACTATACGGTACCAAACAACTGCTTCCATAGTAATAATCATATCTGATACACTATACGGTGTGCCATATGAGGCCTAAGTATACATAGATTGTGTTACCAAAGATGAACCCTAGAAGGGTGTGTTTGTACTAGTCAAGGAGATGACCTTTTAGGATAGTAGAATCCTTATTAAACCAAGAGAATATAGAGGATATCTAGGAAGTAGATATTGCATCCTCTTAAGAGTGTGATTACTTGTGGTGCCCGCTGAAGAAAGTTGAGGTTCCATCATAAAACTTGGCAATATAGGGAGTACCCCAACTTAATTGTAAGCCCATGCAAAGCCCATCCTCCCATCAATTTGAGATTCATTCTCAACACAGCCCCTCACATGTGGTGACTTTTCAAGCCTAACACGTAAACAATATAATGGGGTGACGTAGAGCGAGTGTGGTCGTTTGGCTTCATAAGTGGAACAACCTACTCTGATATCATGAAGAAAGTTGAGGTTTCATCATAAAATCAATTGGCAATATGGGGAGTAGCCTAACTTACTTGTAAGCCCATGTAAGGTCCATCTTCCCATCAACATGGGATTCATTCTCAACACGACCTTTATGTGGTGAATTTTCAAGCCTAACACGTGGACAACACAATAGGGGTGGCGTAAAGATCGCGTGGCAGTTTGGCTTCACACGTGAGAATTGGAGGTCCCAAATTCCAAGATTTTTTCCACACAGAAATTCTAAATTTCTATGTTTATGAATCCAAACAAGGGAATTTGAGCATGTCAATTTATAAATGCTAACTTTTATCCAAATTCTAAGTTTATTTCCCTTATTCAAACATAATGTTAGTTAATTCTTTAATAATCTCATACTAAAATTTTAAGCTAAAACTTTTGGAAGAAAAACTAATTTTTGAATTAAAACTTAAATTTTCTGGACTAAAAATTTAGGTTTCAAAATCTCTCAAAGAAGGATCAAGTGGATCATTTAAATCTAACTCCAAAACCCCTACTCGTCGAATATGTTGGCAACCTCAAGTATTTCTCATGGCAAGAAACCAATATCATCTCCATTAATTTTTTTATTTTTTTGGTCAAATCCTTTTTGAAGAAAGGAAGAAGTTTTATTAAAAAAAGATAATAACAAGCCAAAGGCCCACAAACAAATATTGACAATACAAAAAGGGGCCACCTGAACAATCTTACAAAAGCCCAATCCAAAGCCCAAAAACTGATACAGAGCCCTGGAACATTCCAGTGTGCTTCCACTACCGCAACAGTGATTTCCGATCATCCAAAACTAAATACCCAAATCAACGCCACAACTCCCACCAATCAGCACCCTAGAGAACAAGCGAAGTGCAACCCTGTCTCCCAGCCACGATTGCCGCACCGGTCTCAGCTAGAAAATGAAAGGAGCCCATAGAAATACCATGGACAACACTGCCAATAAAGGCAGAAAGAGAGAAGGAGGTGGTGTTGGAAACACCCGAGCCGGTGTAACTGGAACTCTACACACCTTCTCAAAAGAGCGCCTTAAAACACCATGAAATCTGACAGTAGACCAGATCAGAAAAGGTCGAAGAAGATGGATGCCCATAAGGAGTACCGAACTGGATAAAACGGGAAATAATGGGGAGAGAGGAAGCAAAAGGAATGTGTGGATGCACAAAATCAGCGAAGACTTTGGTACAACAGAAAGTGTCAGGTTTTGTGACCTTCGCTTGGTTGCTTCGGTCACTAGTGAGGATAAGTACGTAAATGAATAGAGACAGAGAAGCAAACACAGGATGTACGTGGTTCACCCAGATTGGCTACGTCCACGGAGTAGAGGAGTTCTTATTAGTAGTGAAGGGCTTACACAAGTACAAAGGATCAAGCTCTCAATTTAGTGAGTTCTTGTGAATGATTTTAACACAAATGGCATTAGGCCATATTGTGGGGGAATGACCCCTATTTATAGAAAAACTTGTAGCTTTGTCACATTGACATGTGTCATGTTATGATTGGTTCTTGATGTCGACACGTGCTGCGCTCTGATTGGCTTCTAATCTTGACACGTGTCGAGTAGTGATTGGCCTCCTGGTCGGAAGGGAACTCTTCTGGGTCCTTGACAGTATAGCGTTGGCCGGTGCTCGGTAGTTTCGGGATTGGTCAAGTATGGTACAAACAGTGCTCCCCTAAGTTCCCGAGTGAGGGAAACTCCTCAGTTGGGGACTTGCAAGATCCAATCCCTTGAGTAATCACGAAACTTCTAAGTACCGAAGTATGGTCTGATCTTCATCTGCCCTTCTCTGGAAGTACCTTTCCTCCATCCGGGAATGGTGTACTTAGCTGATGAAGATGCACAAGGTAATGTATCAATTTCACTTTGAAGCTTACTTGTAGTTTCGGGCTTGGTCAAGTGCGATACAAACCCTATAGTAGGAGTCCCCCAAGTCGCCGAGCTAGGAGATCTGCCGAAAGAGGTGACAGACAAGATAAGCAGTCAAACTTCCAAGTAAGCAACCCAGGATCAGAGATTTGACTTCGGCTTCCGGTTGATTGTTCTTCTTCTCCTTGTCTCTCATTCAACTGTCAGGATAAGGAGAAGCAAATGGATAAGAGATGATATGAGATACTTTTGCTTTTGAAGAAGTAACTTTCCACAGGCTTATTCTTGAACTGTGCTGGAGGGTTTTCTGGTGCCCTTCAGAGTATAAGGCCGACTCAAAAATTTGAGGGTCAAAACAAGTCCATCAAATCTAGAGTACGTTCGACCTTGATGATATGGGATACTTTTGCTGTTGACGGAATAATGAATGTGGTATGGAAAGGTGTCGTGCTGTAGTGATCTGTTTCAGCCCACCGTTGAACCTTCTGCTTCAATCTTTTACATGGCAGAAGTGGTGTGCAACCTTTGCATTTCAATGGTCCTTCAGAACATTCCTTCATAGTGACTCATCCCCGCTTGGCAGCTTCAGTGTAAAGAGCCAATATCTGATCAACTGTCATGAGGTATTTGCCGGTGGAATTCGTGACCTTGACAGCAGTTGAGGATGAGTACTCGAGAGCAATGCTAAGTAAGCAACCAGGCAAAGGCTCCAGGCAGTCAGTTCCAAATTGGAGGTTTGATTTCAGGTTCCGACTGACTGCTCTCTTTCTCCTTGTCCTGCAGGTGTGGACAAGGACAAAGACAAAGACAGGGAGAAAGCATGATATGGGATACTCTTGCTTTCGACCCTGATGATATGAGATACTCTTGTTCTTGGTGTGGCTTATTTGCTGAGGTATTATCGGGGGGAAATAAAGCTGAGTATTTCGAGAGGTTATGTTGAGGGTGCCTTTTCGAATGCGAGAAAGGGTTGAGCATTTTTGCAGGTTTGCCTGTCCGTTGAGGAGGGAGGTCAATGTATATAGGGATTTCCCAATAACAAGTAGTAATGCTATTCCTTTACTCTTCTTGGTCACAGCAATGTAGTGGGAGCTGCCAGCTTCACGTGTTTTAATTTTGTCAGAGCACTTTAAAAAAGTGGTATGTGGTATCTGGAAAGCTGATATTACGTGTGAAGATTACAGACAAGCTTTATCTAAGGAAATCTGGCTCTCGAAGTTCTGAGAGTTGTGCCTCTTCGGTTTTCGAACAAGCAATCTCGTCGAGGATCTGACTCTCGAGATTCGGAAAGCAGTGCTACTCCGGTTTTTGAGAAAGTAATTATGTTGGGAGTCTTTTCTCGAATGTGAGTAAAGGTTGGACGTTCTTGCCAACCTGTCTTGCCGCAAAACACGGAGGTCGACACACATAGGGACTTTCCAGTTGTCAAGCAGTGGTGCTGTTCCTTTACCCTTATGGGTAATAGTAGGGTAGCTGGAACTTCGAAATTCTCGTGCCTAAACTTTGTCAGAGATCTTTGACAAAGTTATATGTGGTACCCGAGGAGTTGATGGTGCATATGGAGAGCGGTGATTGAACAGTAAGATTCACGTGCTTTCTACTTCACCAGAAATCTTCGACAGATTGCCCGTAATTTCCGCAAAGCTGATTGTGCATGTGACAGGTGCTGACGAGGCTGAAAAAGCAGGTGCTTCTTCGATTTCTGAGATCGGCCCTCGTGGTCTCTGAGCAGCCCAGCTTTTGAGAAAGCAAACGCCTCTTCGATTTCTGAAGCTCCGTCGAGTGCAGATTTTTATAGAGGCTGGCATTAAGTTCCACAGCACACTTGAATCTCTACCAGTAGAAGCTCATTTCTTGCACTTCTAAGATCTTGATTTGTCTGACCTCTTCCTTCTTCAACACATTTGAAAATGTCTGGACCCTCCGACCGTCGTTTTGACTTGAACCTTGGAGAAGAGACAGCCACGCCTTCTCCAGACAACATATGGCGCCCATCCTTCATATCCCCTACTGGTCCTCTTACCGTTGGGGATTCTGTGATGAAGAATGATATGACCGCTGCAGTGGTGGCCAGGAACCTTCTCACTCCCAAAGATAACAGACTACTTTCCAAACGGTCTGATGAGTTGGCTGTTAAGGACTCTCTGGCTCTTAGTGTTCAGTGTGCAGGTTCTGTGTCTAATATGGCCCAACGCCTATTTGCTAGAACCCGCCAAGTTGAATCATTGGCTGCTGAAGTGATGAGTCTCAAACAGGAGATTAGAGGGCTCAAGCATGAGAATAAGCAGTTGCACCGGCTCGCCCATGACTATGCTACAAACATGAAGAGGAAGCTTGACCAGATGAAGGAATCTGATGGTAAGGTTTTACTTGATCATCAGCGGTTTGTGGGTTTGTTCCAAAGGCATTTATTGCCTTCGTCCTCTGGGGCCGTACCTGGTAATGAAGCTTCAAATGATGAACCTCCAATGCCTCCTCCTTCTGGGGTTTTGTCAAGTGATGAGGCTCCGGATAACCACCCTCCGGTGCTTTCTCTTTCTGGGGCTCTACCGACTGCTGAGACTTCCCCTAAGCAACCTTTGTGAAGGCTTCCTTTTGTTTGTTTATTTTGACTCATGTATATGTACATATTTG